AGTGCAGTGCAGCTGTGAGCAGCCACAGACAGCAACACGAGTGGTTCCTGCCGACAGCGTCTGCAGAGTGATCAGATTGTTCTGTGCGATGGTTCCACACACCTGCTGGAATGTGCTGCTGATCTGTTCTTGAGCTGTGTGTTGCTACAGCTCTCAGGCTTCAGGTGAGCAGCTAGAGTAGGTACCTTTGGTGAAATCAGGTTCAAGCTAGAGAGTTTTATTAACAACCAAACCCTTTTGTCTGCTCATGTTTCTGTGCACAGGCTCTCAGTGCTGCAGAGGCCTCAGGCACTCTCAGGAGTGCTCTGCTGCTCTGCTGGGGTGAGGCTTGTCCAGTGGAGTTGAAGTGCCTCTATTTTGCCTGTTTGGTGCTGGCAAATAAGTAAATATTCCATAATAGAGCACACAGGATTCAAACCTGAGCATTCAGTGTATATGTTCAAACCTCTGATACACAGACTCCCAGAATGGTTTGGGTTGGAAGGACCTTAAAGCTCATCCCATCCCACCCCTGCCATGGGCAGGGACACCTCCCACCAGCCCAGGCTGCTCCAAGCCCCATCCAACCTGGCCTTGAAAGGTTGGAATTCCAATACTACTCCTGCCACTTCCCAAGGGACAGTGTCATATTAGCAGGGATGGGAAGAAAATTCCCTGGCCTCTGTCTAAGGATTGCCTGGATTTACTATCTCTTTTGAACCTTCAAGAACAGCTCCTGGTTGCTATCTCAGTACACCGAGCTGTGCCTCACTATGTTCAGGCATTGATTATTGGTGTGTGTGTGTGATCTCTGATGAGCACTTGTATCCTTTAAATATGAGGAATGTGGACCTAGACAGCAAATTGCCCATTAAAACTAAAGTATGGAATGATTTTCAGCTGTCAGGACAACTTGAAAATGTAGAGCATGGGAATGCTTTAAAAATGTTCTCTTGACAGAAGTTTAGTAAGTCTCTGTAGGTTTCAAGTCTTACTTCTGCCCTTCTTCCCCCTCCCATCCCTCATTTTTAATCAGATGGAGAAGGGGACAGCAATGGACTGGATGCAGCTGCTGAAGATGGGCATTCCCAGGCTGGAAGTGCAGAACTCAGTTCTGTGCCTGGCACGTCTCTGACGGAGGAGCAGCAGGAGCGGATGGAGAGGAACAGGCAGCTGGCCCTGCAGCGGAGGCAGGCGAGGCTGCAGGGGCACAGCCAGGCCCAGCACAGTGGTAATCACCTCTGTAACTTGTGTTAACAGAACCACAGGGTCGCTCAGCTTGAAAAAAGACCTCTGAGGTCACTGAGTCCAAGCCATGACCACCATGTCAGCTAGACCATGGCACTAAGTGCCACCTCCAGTGTCTCCTTAAACACCTCCAGGGATAGTAACTCCACCACCCCCATGGGCAGCACATTCCACTGTCTAATCTCCCTTTCTGGGAAGAAATTCTTCTCATGTCCAACATAAACCTCCCCTGGCACAGCTTGAGACGGTGTCCTCTGGTCCTGTCACTAGCCTGGGAGAAGAGACTGACCCCACCTGGCTACTCCTGTCCGGGAGTTGGAGAGTTGTAACACTGAGGTCAGTAGCCTGAGCAGCTGATAGAGCTGAGCTGCCAAGTCATCTGAAAGGAAATAGCAGTGGCTGCTGTTCCAGTAAGTGGCAAAGTGTGCAACTGTGGAATTTAAACAGTGTTCCTGCAGTCAGACTCCTCCAGAGCCAAGTCCCTGCTCACCCTGGCTGTGCCAAGCTGTGAGAGCTTTGTGGTGAAGTGAAACCCAGCTCACTAGTTATGGCTGATTGGCTTTCCTGCAGATTGGGATTCTGGTGACAGAAACGACAGTTAAACACACAACAGTGTTTGCTCATGGTAGGAATTTGGGGTTTTTTCTGTTTTTGCAGCAGAGCTCCCCACGAGTTACTCAGAAGAGGAGTTTCCCAGCCCAGTCTCTCAGGATCCCACTGACCCTGCTGAAGACACTCAGGTGCCTGCAGCCGAGGGTGCTGTTACTGATGATGAATTGTAATGTGCCTGGGAAAAGCAGGAACTGTATCCCACACCCAATGCCTTTCTTGAGCACAAGACCCTCCTGCTTTAAGTGCTGTCACTGTACTGACACGGTGTTGGCTCTGTGCACTCCAGAAGCTTCAGAGAAGTCTTCACCACAGCATTGGTATAGTTGGACAGAACTAAGAGGTGTAACAAGACCAAAGTTCTTCAGCTGCAGCAGAGACATCTTTTCAGCCACAACATTCTTTTGGAAATGCTAAGCAATTTTTTACCTACTTTGAACTTAGTTTATAATTTATATCAAATTGAATGAACTGGGATGTTGAAGGGTGAAGTTCCCATTAAAGTTGCGATGTTTGCAGTTTTTTAACTTGTGTGTTTGGGCCTGAACTGGAATTCTTTAATGTGAATGAAGCCATAAGCAGATTTACAGCAGGTGAAATTCATGTTGTCAGGTGTTATTTTATGCTGATGTGAAGCTGGTGGATTTCACTCCACAGAATTCCATACTCCAGGTTAGTGTGAAGGAGTTGCTTTTTATATCCCTTTAGGGATGAGTTAAACTCACTGAACTCTAGTGGGAAAAGGAAATACTTAGGTTTTAAGAACCAAATTTATGGACAGCATGAGGAAAGTAGGTTTCTGAATGATACCTAAAAGAATTCACCACACTGTCCTTAGTCTGAAAGCTTTATCGTGTAGAAAATCTTTTGATAATACATAACCAGATAAAAATAATTCTTATTTAAAATAGACATTTAGCTTCCTATTTAAAGGGCTCTTGAATATTTAAATAAACTGCTTTGAAAAAGCTCCCCAAGCACTCGTGCACAGTGAACAGGAACAGGACAAGCAGGTGTTGCTGGGCTCCAGCTCAGGTTCTGATGTCAGCTGCCACATCCAGCAGTGCCAGTTCCCTGATCTCCTCCAGCAGCTGGTACAGGCTGGGGCCCTTGGTCTGGCAGTATTCCTGGTAGTCCTCATCCAGCACTTCCACCCTTGCTCTCTCCTGGGCACGCTGGGCATCCTCTGCAGACTGACTGACTGCCTTCACCAAGTCAGACCTCACCCCATGGAAATTCTGGGAAG